GTTTGCCCCGAGAGAGGGGCCCGTGCCTTGGAAAGCGTCGCGGTTCCGGCGACGTCCGGTGAACGCCCGCTGGTCCTTGGACAAAAAATCCCGGGGAGAGTGTGTAAATCTCGCGCTGGACCATACCCATATCCTCCGGGGGTCGGGTGGGGTGGGGTTGGGTGGGGTGGGATGGGGGGTTCGGCGAGGCCTTGGCGGCGCAGCGTGCCCCCGGGTAAGGGGGGAGGTCTCCCGCGGGGCCCTAGGGCAAGGACACTGGGGTGGGGGGTGGGGGTTGGCAGCATGAGGGGGTGGGGGGCTGGGGGGGGGGAGAGTCGCCCGGATGGCAGAAGAGCCCGACCCGCCCTCTGCTGGTCGAGAAGCGCCAATGCAAGCCACCCTCCTACAGCCGGAGCCAGGTGCCTCAACTTGACCAGAGCAGGGAAGGACAAGCAGGGGGCACGCTGTCTGCAAGAAGGCAGGGGCTGAAGCGTGCCATGGATGCCGACGGACCATTCAGATCAAGAAGTGTCCGTGGGTGACTGCGGATTTACACACACAGACGCGCACACCCACACCCACACACCTCCCCCCCCTACACACACAAACACAAACACACACACACACGCACACACACACAAACACACACATACACACACCACCACCACCAACAACAACACAAAGGTATTAATCCACCTTTGTGTAGTAAAAAGTATACTTGTACAATGTTTTGTAGTTGTATTTTGTGCTGTTAAAACGGGGAAGTTAAAATGCGGGATTTGGGGCGGCAGGGAGAGGGTAAAAGAGAGGGGTTAAACTTTGCCGCTTCAAAATGGCGGCTAAGTGGTTTGGCTCCGTGGACAGAGCATCGGCCTGCGGACTAAACGGTCCCAGGTTCGATTCCAGTCAAGGGCATATCCCTCAGTTGTGGGCATATCCCCAGTAGGAGAGGTGGGTGCAGGAGGCAGCTGATTGAGGTTTCTCTATCTTTGAGGTTTCTAATTCTCAATCCCTCTTCCTTCCACGCTGTAAAAAAAATCAATAAAAGATATTTCAAAACAAAATGGCGGCTGCTACGTTCCTGGAGCCAAAATGGCGGGAAGTATGCCAGGGTCACCCACATCACGGGACAGTGCATGAACGCTAAGGTAGAGATCCACCTCATGCGCCGCATCCACCTGCCAGATGGCGAGGTCTTCCGCAACTTCAAAGAGCTCTCCCGTGTGGTCCAGGAGATTGACAAGCAGGTGATGCGGGAGCAGCAGCAGCAGCAAGAACATGGGACTGAGGAAAGCCAGGGCCACGGCTGGCAGATATTGGGTTGACTGGGGCAGGGGCCTGGGCCAAAGAGCTAAAATACAAAGCCATACACATTTTATTCACATCCACCTCAGCCTCTGCCTCCCATGACCTCCAAGGGCCGCTCCGTTCGGTGATTTTGCGTCCCTGGTCTCCCCTCCCCCCTCCCTCACACCACGCCCCCTCCCATCGAATGCGAATGGGACCGATGTTTGCAAGGTTTCATTGCCGAGAGATAGAATCAATTGCAATGAATGAAGAGAAATGAGCACAGAAATAAGAAAAACAAAACAACACACACACAAAAAAACACAAGAAATAGCATAAAGTAAAATAAAAGGCCCCAGCACTCTTCACGGGTCCCGGGTCGGAGGAGCCTGCCCAAGAGGCGCCGCTCAAGCACCCCAGGCATGGATCACAGCCACCTTCAGGAGAACCTTTCCTTGAGATGCGCCAACCTGCCCCACCCTAAAGTCCGCGTCGCCCAAACGGGGACGCGTCATTCCTGGGAGCGGCTGATTGGTGGGTCTGTCTCTCTGGCTTCCTCCCACTTTTACCCGCCGGAGCTATAAAAGAAAGCAGGGTTCCTCTTGGCAGAGCTTTGTCAGCCCTAGGCGTGTGGTCGTCGTCGTCGTCGCCCTCGTCCTCCCACGGAGCATTCAGGGGAGAGATCTCGCGAAGACGCGGCTTGGACCCCAACGGAGGCAGGAGAGAAGCTAGCCCTTCCCAAGATGACGAAGAGAAAGAAAAGTCCTCCCGAGCTGCCGCAAGAGGCCTTCAAAAGGCCTCGCAGTGGCCTGCGTGCGCGCTTGGCGGAGGGTCCGCAAGTGTTCTATGCACTGGGCAAGAGGAGCGGTGAGCAACCTGACCCGTCTTCCTCGCGGGCCCTGGTAAACTCAAGCAACCCCAAAGGCCCCCAGGCACGCCCCGTTTTCAAACCATGGCTGGATACGCGCCCCCGCCCCCGTGAGGGCAAAGGTCCAGTGAAAAGTCAAGTCACACCCCAAAAACAAGATGGAACTTCGTGCCCAGGGTCTCCACCTCCATCCCAGGACAAGCTGCCTTCTCCCGGGAAGGTCAAGTTGGTGCCATCGGGTTTTCCACCCATGGACAACAAGCCGCCGCCTAGACCCGTGCCTCGCAGGCCACAGTCTCGGGCATCAGGTCGGCCTGCCCTGACCAACCCTGCCAAGGCTGCTGCAGCCACTGCAACCCTGCCAACCCCCGTATGTTTGGCAGGTCCTGGCAGCTCAGCTCAGCCAATGTCCACCAACTCAGCCGGACCAGGTTTCAACAACCCTGCCCGGCCTAGTGTCCCTCGGCCTCCTGCTTCTAGGCCTGGGCCCTACACAACATCATCCTGTGCTTCCCGGAAGCGGGAGCCTGTTCACTCTGCTGTGAGCCAGCCCCGGGCCCCGCCCAGGCCTCACAACCACTCTCCACTTCAGCATTTCACCCGCCAACCAATTCTATGGAGGACACCTGAGGTTCTGGGGCCAGGAATGTCAACACCCATCACAGATGAGCAGAGGCCAGAACGAGAGGCCATGAGGAGGAGGGCTCAACGAGAGCGTGACAATGCTGCCAGATTGGGGAGAAGTCGTCAGCACTTCACTGAGAGGGAAAAAGACATGGCGATTGCTCTGTACTATGGCTATGCAATGTAGGAGATGATGGGAGTGCTGGCGCCCCTTTCTTTCGGCACCGGCTGTTTTTCCATAGAGAGGTACCTCCATAGATAGATAATAGGTTGGCAGATAGACATGAATTTCAGAATCTGGATAGATTTTACCACTCAACAAAACTGAACAAATATGGGAAATCGGTCGTCCGACCTGGGTAGAGGGGCGAAAGACCAATGGAACCGTCTAGCAGCTGGTTCCCTCCGCAGTTTCCCTCGGGATAGCTGGCGCTCTGGCAGACGCACAAAAGACGCACTTTGATCCATCCGGTCAAGCGAATCATTAGAGGTCTTGGGGCAGAAAGGATCTCAACGTAGTCTGAAACTTTCTTTCAATGGGGCAGAAGCCCGGCTCGCTGGCGTGGAGCCCGGCGTGGAATGCGAGTGCCTAGCAGGCCACTTTTGGCAAGCAGAACTGGCGCTGCGGGGTGAACCGAACGCCTGCTTAAGGCGCCCGATGCCGACGCTCATCAGACCCCAGAAAAGGTGTTGGTTGATAGCGACAGCAGGACGGGGGTCATGGAAGTCGGAATCCGCTAACGAGTGTGTAACAACTCACCTGTGGAAGCAACGAGCCCTGAAAACGGATGGCGCCGGTGCCGCGGGCCCATACCCGGCTGTAGTTCTTCCAAGGAGAACTTGGAAGGCCAAAGTGGAGAAGGGTTCCATGAGAACAGCAGTTGCACATGGGTCAGTCGGTCCTGAGAGATGGGCGAGCGCCATTCCGAGGGGACCGGCAATGGCCTCCGTTGCCCTCAGCCGATCGAAAGGGAGTCGTGTTCATATCCCCGAATCCCGAGTGGCGGAGACGGGCGCCCCGAGGTGTCCAGTGCGGTAACACGACCGACCCCACCACCCGGGGAAGCAGCCGGAGGCCCCAGGGAGAGTTCTCTTTTTTGTGTGAAGGGCAGGGCGCGCTGAGCAATGGGTTTGCCCCGAGAGAGGGGCCCGTGCCTTGGAAAGCGTCGCGGTTCCAGGGACGTCCGGTGAACGCCCGCTGGTCCTTGGACAAAAAATCCCGGGGAGAGTGTGTAAATCTCGCGCCGGACCATACCCATATCCTCCGGGGGTCGGGTGGGGTGGGGTTGGGTGGGGTGGGATGGGGGGTTCAGCGAGGCCTTGGTGGAACCAGCGTGCCCCCGGGTAAGGGGGGAGGTCCTCCCCCGGGGCCCTAGGGCAAGGACACTGGGGTGGGGGGTGGGGGTTGGCAGCGTGGGGGGCTGGGGTTCTGGGGGGGGGGGAGAGTCGCCCGGATGGCAGAAGAGCCCGACCCGCCCTCTGCTGGTCGAGAAACGCCAATGCAAGCCACCCTCCTACAGCCAGAGCCAGGTGCCTCAACTTGACCAGAGCAGGGAAGGACAAGCAGGGGGCACGCTGTCTGCAAGAAGGCAGGGGCTGAAGCGTGCCATGGATGCCGACGGACCATTCAGATCAAGAAGTGTCCGTGGGTGACTGCGGATTTACACACACAGACGCGCACACCCACACCCACACACCTCCCCCCCTACACACACAAACACAAACACACACACGCACACACACACAAACGCACACATACACACACCACCACCACCAACAACAACACAAAGGTATTAATCCACCTTTGTGTAGTAAAACGTATACTTGTACAATGTTTTGTAGTTGTATTTTGTGCTGTTAAAACGGGGAAGTTAAAATGCGGGATTTGGGGCGGCAGGGAGAGGGTAAAAGAGAGGGGTTAACCTTTGCCGCTTCAAAATGGCGGCTAAGTGGTTTGGCTCTGTGGACAGAGCATCGGCCTGCGGAATAAACGGTCCCAGGTTCGATTCCGGTCAAGGGCATATCCCTCGGTTGTGGGCATATCCCCAGTAGGAGAGGTGGGTGCAGGAGGCAGCTGATTGAGGTTTCTCTATCTTTGAGGTTTCTAATTCTCAATCCCTCTTCCTTCCACGCTGTAAAAAAAATCAATAAAAGATATTTCAAAACAAAATGGCGGCTGCTACGTTCCTGGAGCCAAAATGGCGGGAAGTATGCCAGGGTCACCCACATCACGGGACAGTGCATGAACGCTAAGGTAGAGATCCACCTCATGCGCCGCATCCACCTGCCAGATGGCGAGGTCTTCCGCAACTTCAAAGAGCTCTCCCGTGTGGTCCAGGAGATTGACAAGCAGGTGATGCGGGAGCAGCAGCAGCAGCAAGAACATGGGACTGAGGAAAGCCAGGGCCACGGCTGGCAGATTGGGTTGACTGGGGCAGGGGCCTGGGCCAAAGAGCTAAAATACAAAGCCATACACATTTTATTCACATCCACCTCAGCCTCTGCCTCCCATGACCTCCAAGGGCCGCTCCGTTCGGTGATTTTGCGTCTCCGGTCTCCCCTCCCCCCTCCCTCACACCACGCCCCCTCCCATCGAATGCAAATGGGACCGATGTTTGCAAGGTTTCATTGCCGAGAGATAGAATCAATTGCAATGAATGAAGAGAAATGAGCACAGAAATAAGAAAAACAAAACAACACACACAAAATAACAAGAAATAGCATAAAGTAAAATAAAAGGCCCCAGCACTCTTCACGGGTCCCGGGTCGGAGGAGCCTGCCCAAGAGGCGCCGCTCAAGCACCCCAGGCATGGATCACAGCCACCTTCAGGAGAACCTTTCCTTGAGATGCGCCAACCTGCCCCACCCTAAAGTCCGCGTCGCCCAAACGGGGACGCGTCATTCCTGGGAGCGGCTGATTGGTGGGTCTGTCTCTCTGGCTCCTCCCACTTTTACCCGCCGGAGCTATAAAAGAAAGCAGGGTTCCTCTTGGCAGAGCTTTGTCAGCCCTAGGCGTGTGGTCGTCGTCGTCGTCGCCCTCGTCCTCCCACGGAGCATTCAGGGGAGAGATCTCGCGAAGACGCGGCTTGGACCCCAACGGAGGCAGGAGAGAAGCTAGCCCTTCCCAAGATGACCAAGAGAAAGAAAAGTCCTCCCGAGCTGCCGCAAGAGGCCTTCAAGAGGCCTCGCAGCGGCCTGCGTGCGCGCTTGGCGGAGGGTCCGCAAGTGTTCTATGCACTGGGCAAGAGGAGCGGTGAGCAACCTGTCCAGTCTTCCTCGCGGTCCCTGGCAAACTCAAGCAACCCCAAAGGCCCCCAGGCACGCCCCGTTTTCAAACCATGGCTGGATACGCGCCCCCGCCCCGTGATGGCAAAGGTCCAGTGAAAAGTCAAGTCACACCCCAAACACCAGATGGAAGTTGGTGCCAAGGGTCTCCACCCCCATCCCAGGACAAGCTGCCTTCTCCGGGAAGGTCAAGTTGGTGCCATCGAGTGTTCCACCCATGGACAACAAGCCGCCGCCTAGACCCGTGCCTCGCAGGCCACAGTCTCGGGCATCAGGTCGGCCTGCCGTGACCAACGGTGCCAAGCCAGCTGCAGCCACTGCAACCCTGCAAACCCCCGTATATTTGGCAGGTTTTGGCAGCTCAGCTCAGCCAACGTCCACCAACTCAGCCGGACCAGGTTTCAACAACCCTGCCCGGGCCTAGTGTCCCTCGGCCTCCAGCTTCTAGGCCTGGGCCCTACAACAACATCACCTGCTCCTCTGCACTGCTGCCTCTGCAATATTCTTCAACATTGACCTGCACATGTGTTATGAGGTGCACATACATATTTAAGTAGTCCTCAAAAAACAGCTACTCATTTATTGAATTTTTTCTGAGGTAAGAAATAAACAAAATTTTGCAGAGGTTGCCTATGTCACCTGCAGATAAGCCCTAGTGAACATTGTTAGCCTAAGGAAGGGATGGAAGTCTTACCTCTCTTCCATGTGGTTTTTGCCTTCTTTTTGTCATATTGCTGGTGTGGTCTTCCTTCCTTTATGATCTTCAGAGGCCCAGAACTTCACAGAAGCCTCTTGTTAATCCTTTTTGCATATTTCTTCTTTTCAGAAATTTTCATGGAACCTCGGTGTCATGGGCAACACACTTTAGTAATAGAACTTCCCTCTGTCACCACAATCAACATTCATTTCCTCACCTTTTTTCTGTTTTCAGGTTGTTTGCATAAAAAGGATGATGATGAGGCCTGTTCTAATAGGAGTGTATCTATACAAGGAGAGTCACGGGTCAGGGCTTCTAAGACAGCTCCAGCAACAAAGAAGAACCATCCATGTAAGCTGTGTTTCTCTGTGTTAAAAGATATTTTGCACCTGAATGAGTTACAAGCAGCACACTTGGAGCACAAAGGCTTCTTCAGTGAGGCATGTGTGAGAGACTTCTGTTCCAGTGTAAACCCTCACCAGCAACAGAGGGATGCCAGGGGAAAGAGGTCCTGGAAAGAAGCTATGGACAAGGCCTCATTTGTGAACAGGTGCAGCTTCGACTTATCAGAGGTGCCTTCAAACAGCAGAGTGGTTGGGGAAGATTCCCAAACTCTCTCAGAGGTTCTCCAGCACCAGGCAACTCATAACACTGAGGAGCCACACTGGGAAAGCGAGATTTCACAGGAATTTCTCAGTGGAAAAAGTCATCACCAGTGGGGTGAATGTGAAAACGCTGCCAGCCACAACCTCAAAGTTGTTGAATGTCAGGGTGTGTGTTCTGGAGAATGTGTCAAATGTAGGAAAAATTATAGATGAATCTTTAACCTCATTCGACATAAAAGGGTTCACAATGAAGAAAAGCAGTATGAGTGTACAGATTGTGGGAAGTCCTTCAGTCAGAATTCCACCCTCATTCGACATCAGAGAACTCACACTGGAGAAAAGCCATATGAATGTACAGATTGTGGGACATCCTTCAGTCAGAGTTCCAACCTCATTCAACATCACAGAGTTCACATTGGAGAAAAACCTTATGAGTGTAGTGAATGTGGGAAATCTTTTACCCGCAATAGTCAGCTCCTTATCCACAAGATAGTTCACACTGGAGAAAAACCTTATGGGTGTGGTGAATGTGAGAAGTCCTTTAGGCAAAATAGTCAGCTCTTTGTCCACAAGAGAGTTCACACTGGAAAAAAACCTTATGAATGCTGTGAATGTGGAAATTCTTTAGCCAAAATAGTCAGCTCCTTGTCCACAAGAGAGTTCACACTGGAGAAAAACCTTATGAATGCTGTGAATGTGGAAATTCTTTAGCCAAAATAGTCATCTCCTTATCCACAATAGAGTTCACAGTGGAGAGAAACCTTATGTGTGTAGTGAATGTGGGAAGTCTTTTAGGCAAAATTGTCAGCTCCTTATCCACAAGCGAGTTCACACTGGGGAAAAGCCTGATGAGTGTACAGATTGTGGGAAATATTTTAGCCAAAAATATAGCCTTATGAGACACCTGAGACTTCACACTGGAGAAAAGCCATAAATGTGAAGGGAATGTTTCATTTTTCTTACTCAGAATAACAACACTGAAGGAGACTCTATGATACACAGTTGCCTTAATATGATCCCTTTTGATCAGGACAGACACTCTTCTAGTATCCTCATAAGTTTCAGATACAAGTGAGGCTTTAAGGAGCTACTTGAACTTGCCATTCTGCCTAGGCCTCCTATCCGATTGATGTCCCTCAGAGTGATTTTGGCTGAAGTGATTTCACTTCTATCACTTGGCTCACCTGAACAGTGTGCATCAGTCACAATCCCTGTGTGCTCTCTTGTGCTTGAATAAATTCTAAATACTCTGAACTCTTGGCAGGATCTTCATTCCTTTCCCGCTGCCTAGGGAATGGGCCTGACCCAGGGTTTGTCCAGAACACCCATCCTCAGAAAAGAAGTGGTATCTCATTCAGGGAGTTCGTGGTGCTCACATTATGCTGTGATGATTGGCTTAGGTTCTATTTCACCAATCTAAACACCGCTGGCTATGGTTTTTGATATTTTGGTAAAGGTGTTTTTCCTGTTGTACCTTTAATTGTGATGGTTCTATTCACTGCCTGCAATGTTTTGAAAGCACTGTTGTGATTTGTCAGCATGTAGATGTGAAGCAATATTGTGGGGATGTCAAACCTTCAGTGCTTTGGAAAGGATAACATGATGGCAGAAAATCATTCTTCATCCAAAACTGGCTTATTTTGCATTGCTGCCCAAGGTGTTGAAAGAAAGATTGCATAACCTTGTGGTCTTAATTTATATCCTGGTACCTTGGTTATGTGTGAGGTCAGTGGTCACCCAGAAGAGGAGGCCTTTGCTGTCCTTCTGTGAATGATATGAATTATGTTCTTTGTTCACAATATGTATTGCTTAATTCTTATCAATGTTTAGGGGAACTCCTCCCCACATTCTGCAAAGAAGCCATGTGCCATGAAGTACGAAATTTCATAGTCTTGTGACATTTGTTGTAAGACTCTGAGGTTAACCTATCATTGAGATAGAAACACTGTATTCATAGTGATGAGAGAGACTGCAGTGGAAAATGTCTCTTCTGAACATAAATCCACAAATGTTCCTGGCCTGTGGCTTGTGTGACCTTTGTGTACAGATATTCTCAGCACCTCCAAAAATATTTCCTGTAGCTGCAGTCATTGACAGAGAAAATAATTTAATGGATTTGTGGATTCCCCTTGTCTCTGTAAGGTGTTCACCACAAAGTCATTTCTCAATATGTAAGAACTCAAAGCTAAAGGAAGGATAATCCTGTAATCAGTCCCAAGGTGTGTCTTTTCTAACTAGTCAGCATTCCTGTTGATTCCATGGCGGTAGTCTTCACTACTTGCCAACATTTGCTGCCACTGAGCCAAATCTGTTCCTCCCAGGAAATGAGCACTGACATGCAAGAAATTGCACTTTTCTAATGTGTGTTATTTTGTGAGCCTTTACGTAGAGATAAAGCTGTGAAACATTACAGTTGAAATAATTTTATCTGTCACTATATACAAGGTGTGGCATAAGTGGACTTTCAGTTATGAGTACATAAACCACAGCACTTGTGCTTTTAAAAAATACCTTTATGTGTTTTTTTTAGGAAAAGAGGAGGGAAGGGGGAGAGAGATAGATAAATATACATGAGCTGCCTCTTGCACACTCCCTACTGGGGCCACAGGTGTGGCTGTGCACCGACCTGAAATTGAACCAGGACGTTTCAGTTCATTGGATGATACCCACCCAGCTGAGGTACACGGTGAAAGCAGAGTTTGTTCCGGTATTTTTATGTATTATTTTCCATACCAACAACTCTAAACCTACATTTCCCACACTCTACATTTTCCTCCTGCCCTTTTATAATCCTTCTTTCTGACTTTCCCAGTCTTCCATGCAATCACTTATTTTCCGTCCTTTACATTAGATTAGTTCATATTTTTCATAATTTTATAGGCACTATAAGTTCTGTACTTTTAAACAAATACTGGTTTCCTTAATGCTACAGATATTTTGAGATCAATACAAATGCTTATGTGAATATTGAATTTTTTTATTGCTGACTAGTATTGTATTCTATGGATAAGAACTTCACAAACCTACTACTCGATTGGTGTCACAACGAGTATTTCTGGCTGAAGAGATTTCACCTCTAACACCTGGCTCACCTGAAGAGTGTGCATCAGTCACAACCCCTGTGTGCTCAGGGGAAATGTATTCTGTGTTCTCACTTGTGCTTGAGAAAATTGTGATTACTCTGAGCTCTTGGCAGTACCTTCATTTCTTTATCTCTGACGATGTATTTCACCTGATACAGGCTTCATCCAGGGCACTCATTGTCAGCTAAAAAGTGCTACCTCTGTCAGGGACATTGTGGTTTGCACATTATGCTGTGATGAATTGTTTCAGGTTCTAATTCACCAACCTGCAAACAGCTTGCTGTCCTCTGTTCTGGGTTATGATCATTCAGTAAAGGTGTTATTTTTTTCTTTTGCACCTTTAATTTTGGGGATTATATTCACTGCCTGGGATGACTAGAAAGGAAAGTTGGAGATGTGAACAGATATGATGGGGTCCCAAACATTCTGTGCTTTGGAAGGCACATAGTAATGGCAGAAAATCAGTTTGTCCAATTTTGGCTTTTTTTTTAAACTTCTGCCCAAGGCCTTGAAAAATTATCTGCATGACTTTGTGGTTCTAATTTGCAGTCTGGTGCCTCTATTATTGGTGAGGTCAACGTTCACACTGGAAAGGAGGCCTTTGTTGTGTTTCTGTGCACAATATTAATTATAGTCTCTGGTCACAATAAGTATTACATAATTCTCAACAATGTTTAGGGGAATTGTTCCCCACATACACTAAAGGAGCCATGTCCTGTGATGTATGAAATTTCATACACTGTTGTCATTATTAATATATTTTTAATTGATTTCAGAGAGGAAGGAAGGGGGAGAGAGAGATAGAAACAATAATGATGAGAGAGAATCATTGTTTGGCTGCCTCCTGCATGCCCCCTACTGGCGATCAAGTGTGCAATCCGGGCATGTGCCCCTGACCAGAATTGAACCTGGGACCCTTCAGTCTGCAGGTTGATGCTCTATCATCTGGGCCCTGGTGTCATTTTTTGTATGACTCTGAGGTTTAAATATAACCACCAGAATGACAGAAACACTGCATTCATAGTGAGTGTGAAAGATTGCAGTGAATTAGATGAAAAGTGCCTCTTCACTTTGGTGTTGTTGAATCAAATCAATCTTAACAGTATTCTTTTTTAAATTTTTTATTGCTTTTTTAGAGAGTGAGGGAGACGGAGAAACATCAATGATGAGAGAAAATCATTGATCAGTTGCCTCCTGCATGCCCCCTGCAGGGATGGAGCTCTCCAACCTGGGCATGTGCCTGACCTGGAATCAAACCAGTGATCTCATGGTTCATGGGTCCACGTCCAAGCACTGAACCATGCCATGTGGGCAAACTATTCTTTTTTATTATTGATTATTGATTCTATTACAGATATTCCCAATTTCCCCCATCTCCATCCCCCTTTGCCTCCCTCTACCCTGCCCCCATTGCTTCTAGGCCCTCACCATATTATTGTCTATGTCCTTAGGCTATGCATATATGTATATACTTAAAAATATAATTTTATTGATTTTAGAGAGAGGGAGGGAGAAGGAGAGATAAAAACATCAATGATGAGAGAGAATCACTGATTAGCTGCCTCCTGCACGTACCTCTCCCCTAACTGAGAATTGAACCTACAGCCCATATATCTTCCATGACCATGAATAGAACCATGACCTCCTGGCTCATAGGTTGCTGCTCAACCATTGAGTCACAGCAGCTGCGCTATATTATTTATAAATTGAAAAAACAATGTATTTATTGTTGCTAGTATTACAGATGTCTCCCATTTTCCTCTCTGCATATATTCTTTGGGGGATCTCTCCCAGTCCTCCCTACGCCCCACTCCTGGGAGATCTGCCAGTCTGTTCCAGTTAACCAGGCCTCTAGCCCCATCTTGTCCTTCCCTAGGGCCACTTGCTGAACCATATCACCTTTATTCACTACTGTCATTGGCCTAGATGCTAGCCCTCCCCTTGGCGTTTGAGAAAACTACATTACCCAGAAAGAAATGGGCCCACGTGGGCGGAGCTAACGGGTGTTTTGGTGTCAGTGCATCCGGTTAGGGCGGGACTTCCACCTTCCTCCTCCTGGCGGGCATTTTGACCTCTTCAGTTCAAGGACTCACAGGCTTCAGCCCACTGGACATGAGTAGGAGGAGGCCTAGGAGGCAGCGTCCTTGCTGTGCAGGGTGTGTCTGAGGCTTGTTGAGCACCAACAGGCTGGGAGTGGGGCCTCGGTGCCTCCGGGACTCCTCTCTGCCCACGCGTTCCCGCAGCCTGACCCCATTTAACCCCCCAGCCTTGGGGACTGGCGCCTCTCAGGTCCTGCAGCCCAGGAAGCCACATCTAGAACAGTGAGTCTCTACTGAGTGACACAGGGTGTGATGGGGGAAGAGGGCCACAGGCTGCAATGCCACCTTCTAAGGACACGGGGGAGGAGCTGAGCCAGGAGGATTAGGAAAACCCGGGCCTGTTTTGGGTCTAAAGGCAACAAAGGAGATGAGGTGTGGTTTTGCACGAGGAGGTTTACTTTCACTCTCAGAATGCTGGGAGCATAGATGGTTGGGAAAAAAGGAGGGACATTTTGTGGGGTAGGGTTCTAACTTTTCCTAACATTGCTCAGAGGAAGGACAGACTAGAAGAGAGAGGACAGCAGCTGTG